GTAAAAGTGGGGGGGGCTTTGCTCCCAACATCCCCCTTTAAGGTTTCCAAAATTTTTTCTCTAAATGCTGTACAGTTTACACTTTAAACACCATTAATTCTACATTGAATCCCAATTACTCATTATTTTTAGTGAATAACAATTTTTTACAATAATACAGTTATTTTAAGTGAGTTATTTAAGTGAGTTATTTTAATTTACTCTATATTATATTATACACATAACTTACTAAAAAATTGAACTGTCATAAAAAAACCCATATACAAACACAGAAATGCGAAACGCATTACACGTTTTCTATATTTTTTATGTATTGGATCACCCACATTCCATAATATGTTCCGTTGTTATTAATTGTCTCGTGTTTTATTCTAAGTCTAAATATTATATATTACAGCTATATTGCCTGATTATACTGAATGGATCTCGGTTTTAGTGTAGGTACCTACCACATTTCAAGAGCAAATCGGGCGTTGGCGTAGGTACATCACTATTTATGAAATAATTCGACATATAATATACTGGTAACTAAAAGTCATTGATTGGATTTAGCACTTGGTATATTTTTAACATAATTAAAATTACTCTCAAAAAGTTTATGATATCTCTAAGAATAATATCTGAAATTGTTATGTCTACCATCACCTTTTAGGACCGTAAAAGTGCTTAGATTTTCTTCAACAGTATCTTTTCTGATAGAAAAGTGAATCTAGTTGGTACTTTGAATGGATCAAAAATAAAATTTTCCCAGTAGTTTTTAAAAGCCTAGAGAAAAACAAAAGAAAAATTAAGGAAAACCGGGAATTGTTACACAAAATCTGTTTTCGAAAAATTCGATTTTGGTCTTTGTTGTAACTTTAAAACAAATGTCAGCAGATAATTGAAATTTTCACTGGTTGTTCATATTTCCATTGTCTACACATGATAAAACTTTCAAAATGTTTTGAAGTGTGTAGGCATATTTTAAGTTTCCAATTGTATTAGTTTTTTTTCTATTAATGTCAATAAAACTTTATTTGTTAATGAAAAATACTTGAAAATGTAATACTATATTGTTACAATGACATTTGAAAAATATTAAAAATCCTTAGTCGCATTTTTTTTTTATAAGCATTCAAAGTTCAAAAATTGACAAAATATGGAAAAATCACAAAAATTATGAACTTATTATGAGTTAAAAATTCGTAAAAATTTTTCTTTTTAAATCTAAGATTTTAAAATGAAATACAAGATTCCTTATAACTGCAGGGCTTGAAACCGGTATAAACCGTTTTAAAACCGAAACCGAAACCGGAAAAAATTGGATACCGGTATTAAAGTTAAAACCGAAACCGTTCTAATTTTGTTCTAACTTCTAGGTTCCTTATAGCTTGTAAATTTTAGAATAAAATTACAAAATCACTCCTATTAAAACATTTCTCTTGTTTGTATCAAATATTCAAAAATCTTATCAAGTAATTCAGTATAAAAAAACCATTCAATTATACTTTCAAGTCTGCTTAAAAATTCGTTTTTAAAAATGTAAAAACCAGTATACAAAATCGAAATTACATTTTTAAATTTTAATACCGGTATTGAAAAATTAAAATAAAAACCGAAACATTTAGAAACCGGTATACAAAACCGAAATTTCTTAATACCGGTATTGCTAAGTTGAAACCGAAAAATTTAGAAACCGGTATTCAAAGCCGAAACCGAAACCGAAAAATATTTGAAACCGATATCGAAAACCGAAACCGAAACCGAAAAATTTAGAAACCGGTATTCAAAACCGAAACCGAAACCGGAATTTCTTAAAACCGGTATTCAAAACCAAAACCGAAACCGAAAAATTAAGAAACCGGTATTCAAAATCGAAAACAAAACCGAAATTATTTCAATCGGTTTCAGGCCCTGCTTATAAGATTATCTAAATTTATCAAAAAAAAAATTTTTTATTAGAAAGTCAAATTACATTTTATGAGCGTTTGAAATTCAAATTTTTACAACATTGATAACTCGATTTCTCATGTAGCGATTTTCTCATTTGGTTGTAATTCAAAAAAGAAGAATACTCGTCGTCTCAGAATGAAAAGGTTCTAACGCAATTTATGTAATTGTTCAGGGGAACGTTTTTAAGTAGGACATTGAATAACTTTTTTCACCATAATTACTAAATCGTGAAAATTGTATGCAATATCAAGAAAGTTCAAAAGAACACAACTTTATCTGCAATTTGTCTTTCCTTAATTATTGACTGAGTTAATCATAAAAAACCAAAATATTAGTTTTAGAATTAAAAGGTTTTACGTGTAGAACTTTTTCATTCTGAAAATAAAAATTATTTATTTAGTTAGAACTTTTTCATTCTGATTTGAATCATTTTTTCCATGCAGTGATACCAACTTCTAGTGTAAACTATGTTATAAATTATACATTTTTTTATTATGCAATAATTTTAGTTTTTAAGTTAAGTATTATTATATTATAACATACTCGTATATTATGTAGTGGGCGGGGGGTCCCCCCACCCCCGGAATTTTTTTTTGTTGTGTATGTGCCTGGACATACCTACTATAAGTAATAAGTTACAATTGTATGGTCCATTGGCGCAATTAGTGCAGGGAAGGGGGGTATATTGAAAACGCAACAATATAAATTAAACGGCATAAATCATAATAATTCACAATAATGAAAAATGTCAAAAACGTAATTCAAATTTAAATGTACCATTTCTTATAATACCTACTAAAGTAGGTACTATACTACTATATACATGTGGCATGTAGGTATTACCTACCTTATCACCTCAACAAAACAAAAATAGACGGTAAATTTATGCTGGAATGCTGGAATAATATTTTATTATTGCACAATAATAATTTATATTGTACCAGTGGTATAACCGTATTATAACGGTACCTTTTCATTCTGAGATATTACATTTAAGACCGTTTAGAACTATTTCATTCTTAATTATTGTTTAGAATTATAAGGTTGTAACTGATATTTCTCGGTTTCGCGCTTATCATTCACGTTTTTATGAGTTAGAACCTTTTCATTCTCTGTATCTCATTGAATAATCAATGGATCGATCCGATTTCAAGATTGAATTATACAACAAAAAATTATAAATGATTATATGCAATAAAACCATTTTTCAAAAAAATTGATTTAGAACCTTTTCATTCTGAGGCGACGTACTGTAGATACATTAACATTTTACTGAATGTTTATTTTATCAAATATTATACTTGATAACATTTTCAAAATGTTAAATATTTTGATAGTCCAGTCAAATTAGATCAAAAATCAACAAAGATCGGAAAAAATTCGCCCCAACTGAATTTTGGTACACACTTAAAATGTACCTTCCCAATTTAATTAATTATGTATGAATTTACTTTAAATTTATATATATAATAATTGTAAAGTATAATACAAAATAACGTTCAATTTTTTTTTTGGTTACAGGCAAAACAACATTCATCCGGAACCAAATAAAATAAAAATGTTGGTACTTAGTGTAAATAATATGGTATTGTAAATTTTTTTTAATGTTTTCTGTAAAAATTCTAGAATTAAGTAGTACCTTCTAGTATAATAATCTAATAAATAATAATATTGTAAATAAACATTTTTCATTAGAGACTCGATTTACATAAAGTTTTTCGTAAATTGTAGATAATTTTCAAATTTTTATTTGGGTTACATATTTACATACAACTAACTCTTCTGTCGATCCCAGAAAACTTGACTGTAAAATAGAAAAACCACTGAACTTTATACGTGGAAGGCGCGTTGTATACATAATTCATGACATGTTGAAAGTGTCCCTATATCGAGGGCCGCCATTTTTTTCCTTATCGATGATTTGGATAGAATTAATTATCAGCTCATCTTCTACTAAATATCAGTGATATACCGGTATAAACGGTTAATATCTTTTAACCGAGGTTGGTATCTTTACTTTTTACTTATTATCCCAGATAATTGTTGTTGTATATTCCATGAGATAAATTAAAATTGCAGTCTACCATCGTGGGTGTGTAAGACGGCTCCCAATGCGTTTTCCATAATGTACAGTTCAGTGAGAAATACACCTTTAGGTGCAATTAGATATTTGAAGTCCAAGGTGGTTTTACATAATAAGTCGCAGTAGTGAACCACAGCAAGTATTAGGTACTAGGCCGCGTGTATATGAACATTTTCAATTAGGTATAACTTTACAATTAAGTCTGACCTCCAAATTCTGACTTCGTCGTCGTTACGAGGTACATTTTGATATAAACATTATATCGATTTTAATAATTTTATAAATATAATAAAATAAAATACAGAGAAATCTTAACATTTTATATTTTTCTAAACTAAATTGAAATGTAGCACGGGCCAGTGAAAAATCGTACCCAGGCCAGATGCGGCTCGCGGGTTGCAAGTTTCCCATCCCTGTTCTAAACCATTGCCAGTTTAGATAATAAAAAAAATAAATCAGATTAATTATTATTATTACTTTCTTGGACGATCTTTCTAATATTTGTCACCCTTTACAGGAATTTCATGTAGTTAGGTTATTCTTTTTCCAGAATTTAAATTTATTATGAATCTAAAAAGGTTACATAATAATCTATACATATTATATTTAAAAAAAATGATAAAATATATTTATTTTTATTATGTGATAATTATAACTATTTATAACTATATATTTACTTAATAAAAATTATTAATTAAATTATTATTATTTTTATTTTTTTTTTTTAGTGACTACTATGGCCAATTTCAATTCCAATGTTTATGAAAATATGCTGGCCAGTTTCCGGACTAACGACTTGCAAACATTATTGCTAGCTTTTGATCAAAATGTGGCAGGACAAAAATCTGAATTAAAAGATCGGGCATTTGATTTATTAAGAACTATATCACCTGGCTTTAACCACGAGGAATATGTATTCAAAATACATGAAATATATCTTTCCATACCAAATAACAGTGCTATTATGAATCACAACTTATTTTAAATGAATGAGGCGTCACGAGATCCATTGGAATATGATATGCAAAGAATGACACTTGGAAATAATTCTTATACTCCATCTCCTGAAACTGTTGCCAAAATCAAGTTCAAAAAGTTACCATTTTATGAATTAATTGACATAGTTCTTAAGCCAACTATTCTAGCTGGTACGGATAGATGTACATTACAAAACTTTCCTAAAGTTAAATATATATTTTATTATTTATCTTAAGTTAATTATATTATAAATAAGTATCTTATTTATTTAGGTATGCAAGAATGGCAATTCAAATTTTATGTGTCAGTCGAGAAAGTCAATCTTGTTGCCATGAATCGTGATGTTTCCCTAGGAAGAAGTGATTATAATTATCAGTTTCAGATTCGAATTAGTCAGTTAGTGGAACCTATGAGTAATGAGGTAACCGATTTTATTCCTCTTGGACTAACATTCGGCTTGGTGCTAATGAATGTCCATTACCACCTACGCCTTCTTATACTCGGCCAGGACCTGAACTCAGACGATCTCCAAGACCTATAAACTGCACCCAACTTGTCAAACTTTCTCCAATCACTCCCAACATAATATATATTAACTGGATACCTGATGGGAAAAATTACGTTATGGCTATGTATCTTGTAAAAAGAGTAACTCCAGAAACTTTGATACAAAGACTTCAAGACAAAGAAGGTAGGAGTTCAGAAGATACCAAAAACTATATAATTAAAAAGTCAGCAGATGTGGATACAGATTTATCCACTACATCTTATCAATTTTCCTTGGTGTGTCCATTGGGTAAAATTAGAATGAAGATACCTGCAAAATCTATCCATTGTGATCATTTACACTGTTTTGATGCTAGTACATTTATTTTAATGAATGAGAAAAAGCCAACATGGAAGTGCCCAATATGTTATAAACCTTGTTTGTACGATGACCTACAAATACAAAATTATTTTTTGGAAGTTGTTTCAAGTCCAACGCTCAAAGACTGCAATAATGAAATTGAACTTTTAGCTAATGGCACATGGAGAGTTTATAAAAAAAAGAAAGAGACAAAAACTACAAATAGTTCTTTTGGTGCAAAATTAAAAGCTATCGATTTTGTGAATTTAGATAGCGTTGAAGAAAAATCTGTTAAAACCAAAGTAGAACTTAACTTTGAAACTGTCAAACAGCAAAAAAATAAAAACTTACAATTTTTCGATATAACATTAAGTGACAATGAAGAAGAACCTACAAAGAAAAAATATAAACGGGAAAATGAATCTGCCGATGATATACAACCAGTTGCCGTAGTTGATTTAACACCACAAACTCAAGTACAGCCGCAACAAGCTATTACTAGTTCTGAGCAAGGAGTAGTAATTGAAAGAGATAGTCCATCCCCTCCTTCAAGTCCTATCTCTAAAACTGAAGCCTCCTAATTTTTATTATTATTGTAATTAAAACAATTTTAAGATATATTAGTTTTTAACATTTTTATGATGTATAAGTTCTACTCGTATTGAATAGGGTATGATAGGGTATCCTATAAGATAAAATTAATTCTTAAAATGTTATAATATTTAATAAATATTAAAATAATAATATAATAATATCCTTAATTTTTTTTATATTATTTAATTATTTATTATTTTAACACAATTTTAATTTAATATATTAATAAAACACGCTCTTTAAAATACTACTTACGTCAGTGATCTCAAACTCAAATTGCCAAGGGGCCTATATATTAATTATACGCCAAAGGATTGAGGGCAAAACACTTTTTTACTCATCTTAATACTAAATCCAAAATCAACAAAAAAAATGAAGACAACATTTATTTATTTTATTTGTTATAGTAATTTTTTTTAATTAAGCTTATTATAATATTTATTTATTTAAAAATTAAAAAAAAAATTTATTTTTTATACCTAGTATTAAATACAGCTAGTCAGATAATATTATTATGATATAACTCTATATAATACTAGGTATTACAAATCACATATTAATTTTTATTTAAAAAAAAAAATTTATTTTTGTAGATATAAATGTTTATTGTGTCCCATATTTTTGAGACCACTGACCTACGTAATAATGTTTGGCCAGGTAGGATATAATATATTCTATCTCAAGATAGAATACCCTAAACAGTGATCAGTTGCCGTCCGGCAGTATACATATTCCTCATAATGGCATAATATGCAACCCGTGGAATTGGAAGAAATTTGCAGAACCAGTATTTTATACTTTAAGACAAAGATAAATAACAATATAATTCTTATAACCATAGTATTTTACTAAAATGAACAAGTACATTTTTCGCTTAATATTGTTCATTCTTTTGTAGTTAACCTAATCCAGAAGATATTATAAATATGAAATAACTAATAATAGGCGATAGTGAAATAGTTTGACAGGTAGAATTATAAGTGTCTTTATGATCAAATTTCATATTATTCCTTGATATTTAAGTTCTATATGTTTATCAGTTATCATCATGACATCATACATTAATATATTATGGGTGACAATTGACTAAGGTTTTTTACTAAAACTCATAATTAATTTGCTTGATATATTTTCATTTATATGGTTTTTTAATGACTTTTTGTAGGCATCTATCACCTATACATATTTTTTATTTGATACTAATTTCTCAGTAAACCGTATTCATTGAATATTGTTTTATTGTCCATGCAATGATTAATCAGTATGTTTATGGAGTAAATACCAATTTATCTTCTGTAAGAAAAAAGTGAAACATTTTATTGTATAAATGTGGCTGCTGGCTAGTCGAACTGTAGAATAATTGCAAGACATTTTAATTTAATTAAATCAATATTTTTTTCATTTTATTAATTAAAATAATATTTGCAGTCTATTAGTAGTTACATCTTAAATTAAGAAACAATAAGACAAATTGTTATTAATAAAGTGATGTCAAAAACATGTCAATGGCTGGCCCACTCACTAACAGTAGGTACCTCAAAAATGTTTTGTTATGTATAAGCACGGTTTAGGATTGAGGTTAGGGAAACATTGCTTTGGCTCCAAAACTTTGTACTCAACCTTATGTTATACTTGTAGAAATAAATAGAAGTCTTACAATAGCAATATATATTCTCTTACAGAATAAAACATTGAAATCTTTAGTAGACAGGCCGAGTGTAATACGATGTACCACTGATTCGCCTATGTCTCCGCCAATAACTCAACAGACAGGAATAAATCATAATATACCACATAAAGCTGTTGATATAGGTCAAAACAGTACCTATTTATGTATTTGCAAATAATTCAGGATCAAGAAAATAGTACATCAGTTAACCCTTCTTCACGACCACAGTTTGCTGGTAGATTAAAATCTAATCAGAATAGAAATGGAAATTTGTTTGCCAAACTTTATGAGCATATAGACGATAGACAAAAATACCAAGAGTGTAAAATAAAATTTAAAATATTTATTAATTGTTTGATTATGGTCTCTTATAATATATTTTTGTATTTTATCTGTAATGCAACGCATATTGTCTGACTCAAATATAATAATATTTTAATATCTCTCAAGTAATCGGAAAACATTTTGTACTGTAAAATATTTTTTTTTTTTTTATATGGTTTATTATGTTATCCTAATATCACTATTATTTTATCCCAAAATTGTAGTCAAATTGAATTAATTCAAAATATTATTAAGATTTAATTAATTAAAATTAACAAGCCACATTATATATAAGATTGAGTGGTTCTCAACCTTTATTTAACTCTTTGAGGGGCGAAAATTTCCTTTGGAAAAAAACCCACGTGGGCAATATGTGTCAAAATTAATTTTTTAAATTTTTTTTTTTTAAATGCTTTTATTCTGGTATTTAACTAAAATATTGTTGATTACATTTTTTTTGAGTTAGCAGTTTTTCCAGAAAAACTTGGGAAACGGTGGTCCTTATAGTGACCACCACCAAAATAAAAGGCTTTTTTGAATCAAATGTTATCAAATCCAAACTTATACTTATTAACTTCAATAAAACATTATATGAGTACCATAAGAAGGATATAAGAAAATATTTGAATCATCCAACTAACAAAGAACTAGAATATTGTATACCATTTAATAATGGATATATTTATTATACATATATATTATTAATAATAAAAAAACAAAATAATATTATATAAACTCCAGATATTTCTGAAAAACAATTACAAAACCCTCAACACTCATGCACATATTTAATCCAATAAAAACTCTAATGTCACCATCATAAGTAGGTGTAAATGGTTTTCCTATCTATGTAGATATTACAGGTTAGTTTGGAAAACTATGTGATCAATCATTTTTTTATCAAATATTTGGCAAAATATATTATATGGTGATTTATCTTAAAGCTCTTCAAAAATTTCAGCTGGTCCACAGGGCAAATCATCAGAAAATAATTCAACTGAAGGCATTAATTCTGATTTTCCCCATAAAGAAGGTGTATATGGAGGTTCAAATGATGGTACTGCTTGATTGGGCTTACTAATTGTTCTAGATTTTCTAGAGGTTTGAGGGTTAGCCTAATTCAATATAAAATACCTATTGTAAAATAATATACTGCCACAATATAATAGGTATGTAATCATTCACATTTATAGTATACAACATGAACTTACTATGTAGTTAAAAAAAAAATAATTATGTTACACACATAATAGGTATATAACACAATACATATATTAGGTATATGGTCAACATTAATAAAAAATATAAATTGGTAGGTACCTACATAGTTAGTATTATATGGTATATTGTAATTGTAGAGGATTACACATATATTTATATATCATAATAGAAACATATAATAATATTGTAGATACTTAGCAAATATTTGTATTAAAAATACTAACTGGGGGTGTAGGTAATTGATTATGATAATACTCCTCATCATTTGAATCACTTGAACTAGCTGATACATGTAATATAGTGTTTCTTGGAGTATATGTTTTATCATTATCACTATCATCTAGTTCAGAACCACCCGAAAAAGTGGTTAGCATACTAACCACGGCCCCTCAAAGAGTTAAGAAAGACACTCTAACTTATATCTAAATAAATGGCAACATGCTTTTAACAATTATTAATGTTTTCTCCTACATTGATAACCATCACTGCTCTCCCGTACAAGTACATAAAAAAAAATATAAATATACACAATAAGATCAAAGAAAAAAAAAATTGCATGTCAACCCTAATACCACCCGACGCTCAGATATAATAACCAACAGAACCAGAATTAGAAATACCTACCTTACTTTGCAACTTTTCTTCTGCTGTTCTAATTTATTGAGTAAGTTGATTTTAACCCTTTAGCGGGCACAGAAAAAAAAATAAATTTATTGTTACCAAATTTTCAGAGATCATTCTTATTTGGTCTAGTACGATGATAAAACTACTAAAAAAAGTTTGTTTTTACTCTGAGTATTTAAAAACTAGTGGGAAATAATTTCCCAAATCATTCCCATAATTATTCCCAAATATTAATGATCATTACAGACATAGGATTTTGACAAGGGGAAATAATTTCCCATTAGTATTTTATTGAAATATGTACTAGTAAAAGTAATAAATAATACCATTTATTTTTTATACTGTCAAACATATTTAATATACAAATAAAAAACATAATAAATTACATATTACATAAGTAATAAATGTATACAATACAGCCTTTTGTTTCACACCAGTATTAGTAAATAATATATGTTTAATAATATTAAATAGTAAATACAAAATAATATAAAAATGAATAAAAAAAAACTACATTTTTTAAATATAATAATAAAATAAATAGTAAATAACATATGATGTAAGTAATAAATGAATACAGACGTTTGTTCCAAATCATTAAATAAATAAAAATATGAAAATTAATAATAAAAAATTAAATTGGAGGACCCTTTTTTATATAATAATAAAAACATAATTGGTCACTAAATGGTTATTTGGTAATTTATGGTATTGTGCAAAACAATTCTTGCACAAACAAATTTTTTATGTTTCAAACAAAATGTTAGACCTCTGTTCTTTATTTTTAATACTTAATTTACAACTTCTATATTTATATATTTTTACTGCTAAATGTTGTCCAGGAATTATATAGTTAGACGGACTTGAAAGAGAACAATTAGGATGTTTAACACCAGGAGAAATTATAGGTCTATAACGGGAAGAAAAATTTGCAATAAGTTGATCAGTGAAAATTGATCTAAATTCTAGAGAGGACATAGGTTTTTTTCTATAATTAGCACAACTTGTCTTGTATAATAAATATGAATTTACAATGGATGTGTCTAACATGTATAATAAAATAATTTGAGACACCACTGCCTAGATTTTTGGGCAACACTGTAAGTAGCCATGTATTGGTAAAATCGAACTACTCCACAAATACATTTA